AAATTAATGTTACCTAAAAAAAAAGCAAATATGTTAATATGTACCATTTGTAGTTAGAAAACTTGCAATATAATAAATATTCTTTGGTAATCATTCTTAAATAATTACATTGGAATTTGGAAATTATGATGTTCTATTTTTATTCTCATTTCCTGTAGCACACAAAAGGAAATCTAGAAAGTGTCAGATCACACTAAAAAAAGAATGACTTTCTGAATATAAAATGATTTCTTGGCACAGAAAATAACTGAGCTTCTCGGAAATTACTAAATCATCAATTACACGTATCTACATTATTTTACTATGTCATATATTGATATAAAATTAATCACATTATGCATGATAGTCACTACACAGGGTCTATTACTGAAACCCACTATGAAATAATTGATTCAGTCTTCTTTTGGGTTTATCATGATAAAAATGACTTTACCAGCAGATGCAAAATTGAAGCCATCTAAATAGCATTGTTCACATTTGGAAATCTGACAAATGACCTAAAAGCTTTTGAGAAGCAGGGCCAGAAGTGTACACCCCAGAGCCAGATTCTCCCACACACCAGGCCACACCGATTGAATTATTCTCTGGGGCCAGGGGCCAGGGCATATGCATTTTCTCAAAGCCCCACCTGTGACCCCCATAAGCTGGTAGAGTTGGGAGCCACCACAAAACTTCTTTTCATATACACAAAGAATTTCTCTTCCCTTCCACAGCAGGGAGTTCCTGCTGAGATTTGACAGCCCCCTTCCAGGCAAGCCCACACAACTGAGTTCTGAACAGTGGAACGCAGTGAAAGTCACATCTACCACGTCGAGGTCTGGCCCTTTAAAACCTTTTACTGGATCCTCTATTTCTTCCTTTCCTCTCTGCCAGCAAGAAGTCAATGCCTACTTCAGCCCACTTTGCAATAGAACTTCCTGTCATGTGCTCTAAACGTTAAAAATCTTAATTACCAGAGATCTCCAGGGTTTGATTCAAAATTATTTTCTGGACAAACATGGCAACCTCTTTCAAATGTGGATTTTTACCACTCCTTTCAAAAGACTTTTTGAGGTCTGCATCCTCAGGCACCCCTCTCCCCTGTTGAAGTTTCCTAAAGTTTCATCTTTCTTACCTGAGTGTTGTGAAGCCCCTCCTCCTCCCCTGCTGTCTACAAGAGGATCTTAGAGGTGAAAGGGAAAACATGTGGCCTTGATGTGTGAGGGCCTGGGGGTGTGGTGCTGCTCAGTCCCTAGCTGGGAAGCACAGAGCTTAAAAAGAGCAAGGCTTTTAAATTGCTTCCCACTGTGGGAGGCTTTTTTGGAGATAATATACCTCTGTAACCATCCAGGGGGCAGAAGTGACTCTGTAGGACCGTCATCCCCATTCCCACCTCCTTTCTGCCCATTAGACTTTACCTGAGGAAAAAAATAAATCTATATTTGTGAACCCTTTAGACTGAGGGGTTTATCTGTCATAGTAACTAGCATTAACACAACCAATACATACAATGACTCATCTCTGGATCCATTCTGAAGTGCAGGTTATATGTTGTCTGGCATGTCTAATAGGGCACACACTGCTTGGTTGGTGGTTTCTAATCGTGTCTCTCAACTCTAGTGTCATAAAGGGAAGAGTCTATTCTAAGACTATTCTATTCGAATCCTCCATATCGACAGCCTAGGTTACCTATTAGGAAGCCACAAGAAAGACACTAAAACTTTAATTTTGGTTTCAAGAGAATGAAATCATTCCTAATAACTATATATTCACAGAAATTATCCAGTGAGGGCCCTGGATTTGTTTCTTGTCAAGGTCTAAACTGTCTCCTCAAAATTCACATGTTGAAATACTAACCACCAATGTGTCAAGAGGTAACTATTTTTGGAAATAGGGTGTTCAGAGGGGGAAATTAAGGTAAAATGAGGTCATATGAGTGGGCCCAAATCCAATGTGACTGGGGTCCTTATGAGAAGATTAGAACACAGAGGCAGAGAACATGTGAACATGGAGAGGGCCACGTACAAGGAGATATCCTCCGAATAAGCTAACCTTGCCAGTGTAATCAATTCCTATTTAAGCTGCCTGTGGTACTCTGTTATGTTCACTTGAGCAAATACAGTCTGAAGATGTTGGCCAGGAGACAAAGGGCACCTGATTCGGCTCTGTAGGTCATTTTGTGTTAACATCAATCACAATCTGGGTTGTTGCCATTGGCCCCAACTCTGATTTGCATGTTCCTGACAACTTGTCCTCTGCCCTTTTTTCTTGTCATTTCAGAGCCTTTCCAAAGATGTGACAGACGATAGTGCTGAGGTGATGGAGTGGGGGTGTCTATCCTGTTCTAACCCCAAGTCAAGGCAGAAATCCTTGTAAAGGGTGAGCACATCACTCACAGCCACCCAGTGTTGGAAACAAGGGAGCGAGCCTGGACAAGGCAAAGGATTACCGCTGAAGAGTCCTGTGGTCTGATGGTGTTAAGTCCAGCAGGGGGCTGCCTTATCAGTGCACCTCCAGATACTTGGCTATCGCTGTGTACACTGTGGTGCCCTTGCTGGCTGATTAATCAGGGAGCATGCTCAGTGTGGAGTGTGGGATGTCAGGGAGCAAGGGCAGGCTCTTGTCTCTTTGGTAAAGAATCAGTATAATTGTAAGACTGATTCTTGAAGGGTCTAGCATCTTTTCTTCAGGTGTCTCTCAGGTCTACTGAAATATGCCCTAGTGGAGGATGCCAAGATGTCCCATTGAGTGGTTGAGGTAAGGGGATAGAATTAAGTGTTTCCTTCACAAAAGACTTGGTCACAAAAACAAACTTAGCTGTCATCCATTACTTTGTGGGGTTCTGATGCTCCTACACAGACATGCATGTGTGTGCGCGCACACACACACACACACACACAGGGAGTGGGAGGGAGTGAGAGAAAGATAAAGTAGCCGAGCCTGGAGGAGAATGGGAATTCTAGAAGCTGGGACTTCTAGATTATTCTCCTCCACCCACCCTTCCCTTTATTTTAAGCAATGTACTGAATATGAGGTCAGCTCATTATGATGAAATACTCTCAATTTTTTATGAGAATGAACATTCATTTCTCTGGAGCCATTCAGGAAACTTTGCTCCCTTTCTTCTCATGCCTAGAGAAAGTCATTTCCTTCAAAGTGAAGTTCCTTCTTGGACTAGGTAGGAACTACCTCAGGTCTCATCTTCTCTGTTTACCTGACAAAAGCAAGTAAGCACAGTTACTAAAGGTCCCACAGCTAAGGCAGCCTGTGGAAAGAGTTAGCATTCACAGTACAATACCCATCTGGCATCAGGCGAGGTTAAACCTGGGTTCTGTGGTGTGTGTGGCATGGAGGAAAGTCACAGCAGGACAGGTCCTGCTTCTGTGACAGCATCACTGACACCTGTGGGATATACATACCATGTACCTATACACACACACACACACACAAAATGATGGGGAGGGAGCAGTTCTTCCCTTGGTATTTATTGAGTACCGTGTCAGTCTATGCTAAGTCCTTCCACACATTAGTGGGGTTCAATAACAGACTCAAGGTTACACAACTGGGGAGTGGAGGAGCTGGGACTGGAACCCAGGACCGGCCAACCCCAGACCCCACAGCACCCAGTGTGAATCCAGTGAATGGAGGCATACCTGAACTCATAATGGAATCCACAGGATGTTCTCTTAGCTTTTATTCTCATCAAAGTGGCCATCAGATTCAGAATTTTTCCTTCTTTATTAAACACTTGGCATGAAATAAAATGCTTCAAGTCAAATAAATAGATTTACCACTTTATTTCACCTACTACTGAGAAATACATTCTCCATCCAATTCTCAGCTTGAAAACAATCAAACACAAGGTTCATCACTTTTTAAGAATCTTCTGGGCTAGTCCTGATCTCTCCTGATACTCAGTGTTAGGAATAGAAAATTCTCTAGACTCCAGAGAGCATTTATTTGCCTTTCTCGGATGCCAACACATTCTGTGGTAGTAAATTAGGTCTTGAAAGGGGCGCACTCACTCCTCGATGCCGCTGGGGCATTCCTCAACAGGAATACTTGGTGGTCTGAAATAAGGCATCACCTACCTGAGCACCCATCCTAAGCCACCACCAAATGGACTTCCACAGGCACAACACTTCCAAAGGATTTGCATGTGAGATGTTTTTACATCATCTGTCTTTTCACTGGCGGTCAGCAGATATTTGCCCTCTTTAAAGTAAAACTGAGGGGCTGGGGGTGGGGGGGGACGAAGAAAGAAAAGCTGGGATGTTTGGTGGGGTGGGGTTAGTTGTGGACACAGTCACACAAGGTTACAGAGAAGCCAGGTGACAGGGGTGGAGGATTTTAGGAACGCACTAAGTGTTCCCCGAGACAGTGACTTCAAGAGCAGATAGGGCTTGAATTGAGACCCTGATCTAGGCCTTCAGACCTGGGGTGAGCCCAGGTAGGGCCACTCCGGGAGGGGCCCGACCCCGCCCCTGCAGCGACTGCGGCTGCCGCTGGGATGGGGCAGAGTGAGGGGAACAGATTTGGGATGGGATTGAGGAAGAAGTGACGAGATCCGAAACCCGAGTTTGGCAGAGGTGGGCTGGAGGGCGCTCACCCCAACTCCCCATTCAGAATGTCTTTGGAAAACCAAAGATGATCCCCCCTGGAGTCCTGGGTTCTGGCACAAAGGGTTTGGGAGGGGCTGGCCCGCGCCGGGTCGGCGCACCCCGC